GAATAATTGCCTGTGAAAATCAAGTAGTAAAGGAACGTATTCTTTCCCGAAACTCGGACAACCTGACCAGATCGATGATATGCTACTCACATTGATTGATTTATCCTTCAATTCTTCAGTAATATCGCGGGTGTAAAACAGCAATTCACTTATATCAGTTAATCGCGGGACTTTCGAGTTATCCTTGTTTGAACCAAAAGCTTGACCTCTGACAGCTTCGGCCAAGAGTCTCCATCGAACTCGAGCTATCGGTGAACCGGACATTAAGAAGACTGGAAGAAAAGAATTGATAGGCTAAACATGTATTCGTAACAATGAAAAAGCGAGCTAATCCGTGTTATTTTTCAATAACTGTGTCGAACGTAGCAATGGCCTCGATTTCCACCTTGGCATTCTACCGTGTATTAAAATTATTTCAGGTTTTCTCACCTTTGGAAGACATGCAACTTGGAATGCTGCTCTTGCTGGAAACGGCTCTGAAAAATCTAAGACCATGCATCCATAAATCTCATTGCATACATTCACCGTATATCTTATTGACTTTCGCGAAATCGTTCATATCCGATAACAACACAGTTGTTTTCACGACATTTTTCATCGTTAACTGAGCTGCATCTAAAATGGCACTTATGTTTTTTAGAGCCTGGTTTGTTTGCGCTTCCACATCATCGCCAGCAAATGTCATAGACTCAGGGAGAAGGCCTAGCTGTCCGGACACATAGAGAGTATCATTGATGGCTACCGCTTGACTGACGAGTGTTAAAATCCATTGTTTGTCTCACCTGTAGGGGCCAATGGCACTAGGAGCTTTTGCAGTTCTTATGACCCTCCGAACAAGAGCGGACATTCTACTTAGAAAACTTACGGCGAATTATGCACGTTATCGCAAGTCCATTACAGGTTGACCTTGAGACTTCAGTTCGGTTCAGGTCAGTCAGTCAGTCAGTCATTTTGCACAGGACAGGAGATGGCCACGGCCAATCGAGCGTCCAGATTTCCTCCGGTAGTAAGCCCCGTTCCGGCCTCTACCACTGCGAGTGTTCTATATTGCAGTTCTACACGTCTTCTTCACGTCTTCACGTCTTCTTCACGTTCAGTTCAGTTTGCACAGGACAGAAAATGGCCACGGCCAATCGAGCGTCCGGAATTCCTTCGGTGGTATGCGGTCAAGTATGGCATCCACCACTGCGAAAAGTAATCCATACTACCTGGCTGAAAAGAGGAAGGGAAAGATGTCTCATCTCACCTCCAAGGTGAGAGATTGTTACACGTGAGCGTTCCCCAATACATAGCAGAGTGAAAACAAAATACATACAACCTGAGTGACCCGCTTTCAATCCTCTCAGTTTTCTCAAGCCGCTAGCTTGTCAGATCTTCACGTCAGGAACAAGTTCACACCACCGTTCGTCCAGGACCGACTTAAATGATAGCACCGTCTGCAGTTGTACTAGTTCAGTTCAGTTCAGTTTGCACAGGACAGTAGTGGCTCCACAGGTAGTCTGTTCCATATAATTACTACCCTGTTACTGAACAAGTGTGACCGGGCTGTTAGTCGAGACCGGGCCAGGTCAGGTCAGGTCCAATGTCCAATGTCCAGTTTACAGTTTACAGCTGGGTAGCAATTTTGCCTGTTTCTCGATCTAAACGGTAAAATTCAGGTCAGTTCAGTTCAGTTTGCACAGGACAGTAGTGGCCGAGACCAATCGTGCGTCC